GTAAAATTCCTCGCGAAAAAACCATATAATAAGAGAATTTTCATATTATAAAAGAATGTTTCAGAATTTTCAGTTGAAGCGTCAGAGGATGCTAAAACTAGCGTGATGTGGGGATAGAAAAGAATCAGTGGCGGGGAACGTGGTTCACTGGTCGGAAATCCCGAAAATGTGGCCGATTCGAAAAATGTGTCCAGGACAGGGATTCGAGGACGGGGTACCCCAAATTACCCGATCCCCGCATCGCACTAGCTAAAACATCGTGAGGTTTCAGCGAAACTCAAAAACGCTAATTGAAAGTGAGAAGACGATTACTCAAGAAAAGAGAAAGAACAACAACATGCAACGAGAACTTGAAATTGTTTCGAAGGGATGACGATTAATACGATCACAACATCTTTTTAGCAAGATAACGTTTGTGAAATAACTCAAGGTTAATGTGACTCTGTGAAGTGGTTAGAATTGCAATGGGATGAGTGTTGCTGAATTGAGAATGAAATGGTGGTAAAACGTGATTTGAGCGATTACGTGGGTGTTTTGTGGTGAGCATGTGGAATATTTCAATATAATCAAACGGATGAGTAAACGTTCTCAAGAAATCTAAACCTCAAGTAATCCTAACCAATAATAAAGACATCATCGATAATAATGAGGAGAAATCTCATCTGAGTGAAACTTCCGAAAAATCACAATAGTTGACGCTTTCTTATTGAGATAATTTGATGAAATTCTACAATGGAACACGCAGCAATTGTGCGAGCAAAAACGATTTCGTTTCATCTCAAAAAAAAGTAATGTTCCTCGAGGCTACGTGCACATCACTAAGCGAGTAGTCTTCTTTAGGATAAGAAGTGCTCAATTTCACTACGACAAAAACGATCACATCATTGTTTTCAGAACAAAAACAGACTGCATCTCATATAAATCACTCTTATTCGAATACAAAGAATACGGCAAGTTTTTTTTTGGTGGCTTGAAATGTTGTGATATTTGTTGGAAAACAAGTGAAAATGAAAGAATCGATTGTAAGTACAAACCTCAGGAACGCCAATACGTCGGCAAGCCGATAAGAAGTTTTCAATGTTCCGTCGACATTTCGGAGAAGACAGTGGAGCCTGCAAAAAGTGTGAAATGATCGATATGTTCAGAATTGCATTCTCAAGCTCACAAAGTGAACGTTGCAAAGTTGTTCGTTTGGCTGAAGCCGATCGACATCTGCTATTGCT